ATATATTGGGAATAATCATCCCAACTGACTTTCATATTTTTCAGAAGGGGTAGGTATACCACCAACCAGTTAAACCTCACAATGCCCAAACTCCCACATTTGACTGGATCCGCAAAAATACAATTGTACATTGTTGCATGATTGATAGGTTTCCTACGACAAATTGGGATTTTTGGATTGTCCATTGCCGAATTGATTCCTAACCTGGAAAATGGTGAGAATCTTATGATATTGCCGAATTGATTCCTAACCTGAAACACCTAGTGCAATAATGGCTTCCCACCCCACATGTTTGACATGATGTTCTCAAGATGATTGTACTACTGAACCTGGCTCTTGTTGGATTTCATGTTGCTCAAAAATGGGGACGTACAGGCTCATAAACTGGTTCAGAACCTGAAGTGATGATTACAAACATGTACCAGCTAGCTATGCAAACCATGAAGCCATGGGGATTTAGACCGACCAGAATACTTTCTCGTTGCTCCAACAAGGGTTCCAGTATCCGACGTAGAAGAAACAGGATATGAATCATCAGGCAGACATACGACAGAACTACAACAGAACTATGGCGATGAAAAATCATGTACTGGTATGGTCTGGCGTCAGGTATGGTCTATCTCTATTTGCAATTTCACTATAAACCACCTAATTTTGGATTTTGGGATTGATATATATATATATATATGTATATATAGTAATTACTCTTGTTCGTTGAACGGAGGTATTCGTCTTGAGGCGTTGAACCACATTCGCAAGATGATGTTCAAAGGCCAATCATCGTCGCAGCATCATATCAATACCACATGCAACATGTTTCTGCATGCCTTTTTTTCACCGTCCAAACAGCAGATTTTAGTTCAAATATTCCCCAACCTAGCAAGATGGGATAGTTCCTGCCTAATTGCAACCCGAACTTCATGATCTTCGAATTTTTTGAGTAGTTGACCTGACCTTTTTGAAGTAGACCTCCAAACTTGTGCCACATCGCTCCCTTGAGGTCCTTGCCGAAGCACCTGGACATCCCCGCAAATCCCACGGGTCCAGGTGGGCTTCGCGCTCCAAAGTATGGCTAGTTCAATGGGGAAACTGAGTGGAATGGAATGGGCTGTCATATTTCAAGCTGTGGTTCATTGAAATTTTTCACAAGCAGCTACGGAAACGTAAATATCTATTGGAGCATTGGCAAGCTTAATAGTCAATCTGGGTACATTCAAAGCTTTCAAGTCATTGAAAACATCCAGTTCATAGTCTATTGATTCTTACTTACAATTACAATGAATGAGTGGTCTCTAACAGAATTTTACTGTACAGTAGGTGTCATATATTTCGCATGGTGCCAGGAGAGGACGCTCACTCCCCAGCGTGGCTGTGGGAGCGCCTAGCAGTGACTGAATTGGGAAGATCCTTTAAGGTGGTACAACGTGATGTGATGTTTTCCATGTTTCCCATAGGGATTCTGTCTTTTTTCTGTCGTTTATAGACATTGATGAACCTGGAAGAACTGGTACTGGGAATCACCCAGTTTTCGTTTGGAACCCAGTGCTCCAAATCCATCCGGCTGCCATGTTTCTTCTCGGTGGCATCCCGGCATCAGGTCCTTTGGCAGTACAAACAACAACCTGGAGGGAATGGCGTATCGCAGCTCAGCTGCAAAAAAAAAGCAAGCCCGCCCTGTGGCTGGAGAATGAATTTTTGGGGATGCTGAATGCAAAAAAAAAACGGCATACATACGCCATAGGCAATACGTACAATTATATATATATACATAATATATTATAATATATTATATAATGTACAATATATATATATATGTATACACATGTGCACACACACAACATACATGTCCATGTCATTCCATGTCAACATATATCTATATGGTGGTTGATACATCAGGAGCCTTCTCAGTATGCTAAATTATTTCCAGAAGAATCCCAATGACCGCACAAACATAAGTTCCTACTGCCAACAGCAAGGACTGAAGTAACGAAGTGTCAAGTGATGACTTGAGTAGTTACAACATTAGTAGCCTTTTTTTTGTGTGACTATTAATGATTAGATTTTTCCATGCTATACCATGCCATTACTTGCTATTAATGTGCATTTTTGGGTGCTGTTTGTTCCGCCTTGTTCCACCTTGTTCCATGCCATTCCATGCCCAGGCAAACCAGCTGAACCCGAGGCGGTGATGGTCTGTTGTGTTTGGGACCGCAAACGTCGACGAGACGGGTCAATCATTTCTCAGGCTTTAGTACTACATCATTATATGAAATTATATACTACATCATTATATGGATAGTATATGTATATATATACATAGTTTCATAGTCTTTTTTTCGTGTGTTCGAAAAGAACTCTAATTGTTTCCAACGGATGTTGACCAAGGTTTCGATCCAGGTGATGCAAATAGCACCAAGACATGGTGGATGAATTTGGGGTGCGTAAACAACAATTGGTAACATTCCGGGTATCAGAAAAGTTGTTGTTCCCAATCGTGTGCATACAGAATAAAAAAGCAACGTTGCAAATCAAAAACAAAATTGGTTCCTGTACTTGTTGCTTCATCTAAGTGAGTTATATAGTTATGACCCCGTTGTAGGTAGATTTAACCTATACAACTAACAAAGCCAGGGATGTAACCCGTTGATCCGTTTGGATCTGTATACCATGGTATAGCATGGTATAGCATGGTATACCATGGTATAGCATGGTATACCATGGTATAGCATGTTTTTTTTGCATGGTTATACCGTTAAAATGATTAAAATTGTCACTGCATGTCATTGCCAATAAACCACAATAAGCCACAACAAACCTGGGGTCGCCATTTCTTCAGACAGACCTATGTGGGGATGATCGGGGAGACCCACAGCGAGTTTAGAACCCATATCTCGATCCCACAAAACGATGAGGAAAAGACACCGGGAAAAGTCTGGATTTATGTGTTTATTTGAAAGCATATATATATATAATTATGTGTATATATATACGTGAGATTTGTATGTGTTTATTAGAGTTTTGCACGCTAGAAAACATGTAGTCCCATTATGTCTATCCTGAAATGCATACAACATAATCACAATCTATATAATCTAATCCAATCTAATCAAATCTACCTACGTACCCAAATCCTATGACACTATCTATGATTATATATGCAATTTAGATCTATCCAACATAAATAATCTATTTCAGGGATCTTCAACCGAAACACATGGTGATTTTTCGTGATATCTTCACGGTACACCAGCTGTGCTGACAGGTAGATGCAGGCGCGGTTTGACCCCTTAAAGCCTGAAGGTCTGGCGGCAAATGCTAAGCAATTGGGAGGTTCCTGGAAAACAAATAACCTTTCGAAACTCATGTTTTGAGATTCCATGTTGAAAAAAATAATGGCGTGTGATACATTCTATGCTGTCACCAAACCGTAATGGTTGCGATCACCACATGAATTGAAATCCCGGGCATTTTGTGCTTCGATTTGTTCAACGGAAGTCTTCCAAGGTGCACAGCGATCAGATGGTCCCAGCTGAAAGTGATCAGTGGAATTTGAGGTTTGAACACTCACAGTTCTGCCAAGTGTGTTGTTTTTAAAATCGCAGCAGAAGCTCAAGTTCCAAAAAAGACTTTGACATTCTGACCATGAAAATCAGGAAGTTCTCGACCATGGAACCCCTGAAATCTCACATGGGCCGCAGGGCCGTTAAAAGCGACGTGTTCCCTTCTGAATGATCATTTTTGCTAGGTAAATCGTCATAAATCATCTATAAATGGGCTATGGCTATAGCTTCCATAGCTATGTTAAATAACCAGAGGGTAGTATTCCAACATTTGAGACAATCATGGATGTACACACACGTGTGCTGGGCCCTGCTGCATGAGCTGCTGGTATATGATGACTCATAGAACCTGAAATGTATGTTTGAACATGTTTGAACAATACAACATAATTTATATGTATATACTGTATGTATATAGATAAATATATGTTATGCAAAACTATGAATGACATGCATGCCATTGTTTCTTTCTCGTCATGAACTTTGACCAAACCAAAACGCTTATGTCGTCATGTCGCTGTCGCCGCGCGTCGCTTCGGCTTCTGGCAGGTGCTGGTTACCCCCCGTTCCTGGTGATCGTTTCAGGGGTCAAGTGATTAGACCAGGTCACTTTGAATGGGGTAGAAAATCACCTACAAGGTGGTGCCCCCTAGATAGCTAAGTTGGTTTATAACTCCAATAACTGTGGTTTATAGGTGATATATCTATAGTTAATGGGATTATAAACCAACTTATAACTGGGGGGCACCACCTTGTATGAATCAGGCCAGCTTTACCGTCCCTTTCCAGTAAGGCGCTTCCCATTTCCAGCTTAATTTAGAAACATTCCAGGTATGGAAGATGTTATTTGTATACTGCAGGATGTGTTTTTTTTAACAGGCTTGGCTTAGCGGCTTAGCGGCCGAGCTGCAGCAAGACAGTACTTGCGGGCTGCGACCCGCTGGGGCTACGAAGTCGTTGTCAAAATGACATCTCCTCAACGTTGAATACCCCATAGAATGATATGTGTATAATATATCTGGGTAAATTATAACGACCTCACTGTTCTCCCTCACTGGAATCATGGTTAGTAAGGGAAATCATCCCCAAATGGCCTTAATTCATGTTAGTGAATTATTATAATTTACCCATATATATATAATACTTGTTTCTCATGGGACAATTCACTAGCTGATTTTATAGATTTGGGTCAAAGAATTGTTCCAACAAGGAACTCCCTTAGCTGTCAATAGCTGATCGTATCGATGTGTTTCGTAGCAGCTGAAAAACATTTCAATGTGGTAAAGCAAAGTAAACCACCACAAGCCCAATGATCAGCATGACCCAACCATGAATCCACCATGAATCAACCATGAATCCACCATGAATCCACCTTTTTTCTCCACCTTTTTTCTCCACCATGCTTTTTATGTATGGCTTATTCTGTTCTTTTTACCAGCCATGGCTGGGTCTGACTGGGACCTCCAGGTGCCGCTCTTGGCCTCACCTCCCATGTCGATCACGACGTGAGCTTCGCCATCGCCTTGTCATTTGGATTATCCCTGGTGGATCGTGGCTCTTGGGATATCTTGGGATCTTACTGTATATATATATATGTATATATATATAAATAAGATGAAACAACAATATATATATATATATGTATATGTATTTATAAGATGAAAGTTACTTTAAGTTACCATGTTCACTTTTTAGTATAGTTCGGTGAGATGGTCTAAATGATGCTTTCAGCATATCACCATGTTCAGTAGTGGTTCCAAGCCGAAGCCGGGGGATCTGAAGGCGATGGCAGGATGAAAAAATTGGGAGCGGATCTCCGCGGCGGACATCACTGAATCATGGGGATCTACATCCTATGTACATATAGTATATAATAGTATATAATAGTATATATATAATAGTATATATATATAATAGTATATATATATTACAATAATAGTAATAATAATAATGATGATAATAATAATGATGATGATAATAATAGTAAAAATAATAATGATAATAATAATGATAATGGTGAATTTTAATGACCCACAACAAGCTGATAAATGATGGATGAATTTGTCTATCCCAATGTTGAATCAATATCATGAGTCCATTGAGAGCCATCACATTCCCAATTTTGATGGTAAACATGATAATTATTGTGTTTTTTTCCCCTAATAATGACCGGACATAGATCTAATCCATGTGTGTTTCATTGCGATTGAGGAGACGGCCATTGGTGCTGGCACCCAAAGTGGATTGCGAGGGAGCTGTGCTGTGGCTCCATGGTATCTTGGCTGAATATGATTCAAGATGATTCCGTTGGCAAATGGAATGGCGCTTGTGGAACCAACGCTGATGATGAAACATGGGTTTAACATGGGTTTAACCAGGAACTTTTGAACGGCGATGTGACGCCATGAAACTGTTTTGAAGCTGGAAGTCTCACAGAATTGTGGAGAACTGATGCAAGCATGATAAGTCTGACTGGGCGGATGGTCATCAATCCATTGATAGGTCTGATAGGTATTTATATAACGGGTCTGGAACATTTTTTATTGTTCCATATATTGGGAATGTCATCATCCCAACTGACTTTCGCTCCATCATTTTTCAGAGGGGTGGCGAAAAACCACCAACCAGTTTATAACCATGATTAACCATTATATAACCATCATAAACCCTCATTAAACATCACTAAACATCATTAAACATCATTAAACATCATTAAACATCTTTAAACAGCATTAAACATCATTAAACGTTATTTAACCATTATTAAATATCATTAAACATCATTAGCCATCATTAACCATCATTAAACATCATTAAACATTTTTTAAACAGCATTAAACATCATTAAACATTATTTAACCATTATTAAACATCATTAAACATCTTTAAACAGCATTAACCATCATTTAAACATCATTAAACATCTTTAAACAGCATTAAACATCATTAAACATTATTTAACCATTATTAAACATCATTAACCATCATTAACCATCATTAAACATCATTAAACATCTTTAAACAACATTAAACATCACTAAACATTATTTAACCATTATATAACCATCACAAACCATCATTAAACATCATTAAACATCATTAAACCATCATTAAACATCATAAACCATCATTAAACATCATAAACCATCATTAAACATCATTAACCACCAACCATTTGTAAGGAATCCCAGGAATTCCATGGGATGACCATGACGGTCCCCGATCCCAAGGATTCGATGACAACTCCGCTGGTTCCTCTGGCAGCCATTGTCAGGAAAATGTTGGAAATCATTGAAAACATCTTATGAACTATGTCGGACATACACTTAATCTATTTTAATCAGTTATATATACATATATATATGTATTATACATATATATATATATTATATATTGTATGTATATATATATATTTATTTATTATTAGATAATTTCTGATCATATTCGGAACACGACTTTCTAAACGGCCGGATTTTGTGACGTACCCAAAAAATGGACGAAGGGCTCTATCGGGCGATTGGGGGCTTATTGGGATGATCGTATAAGCCTCGTTGCTAAGTTCGCATTTTCTGGGTTTCTCCTTACTAGAACTGGCATATTATCACGGGATATCACGGGTATATATATATAGATATATAGTTGCAAAAAATATATATATATGCACTGTGTATATATATATATGTATGCACTGTGTATATACATATATATATATATATACATATTATTGATGATACAAGCTCATGACTAGCTGGGACAGACATCCGCGTGTCTCAGTCTCACGGCGCCCGTCAGCGTACTGCATATTTAATTCGATCAAAGGCAAGTCTATTGCGACTCAACGTTCAAAGCCTAGGTTTCAACATCTCTTCAAGGTTTCAAATCCTTGAAAAAAATAGTGATTTTGCAGTGCTTTTGTTTTTTTTTGACAACTTGAGGTGACTTTCAGATTCCCCGAAATCTCCCCTTTCAACGGCGGCTTCAGGCTGGTCTCAGCTGTTGCCGCGTCGACTGAGCTGGTGCTGGGTACATCTGCGGGCGCCCAAAGTGGCGCAGAGTTTCTTCGGAGGCGTCGATCCGGGCGATGTGGCGATGGGAGGACGGCCGGGGATTGGACATTCAGAAAGAGTGGTGAGAATATGCGGATTTAACATGATTTAACCATGTTTTTTTGGTAAAAATAGCACACACCAATCTGGTATAGCATTTTATGTGCTCTAAACACACCAATTGTAATCATGACCATACAATAAACATCATACAACTGGTTGGTGGTTTCAAACATGTGTTTTTTTCCATAATATATGATATGGGATAATCCTTCCCATTGACTTTCATTTTTTTAGAGGGGTTGAAACCACCAACCAGATGTTTTTGAACATCAATTGCATAGTCAACATAGGTGGTTTCACACGTGATATGTCCTAAAGCATTCTTAAGCAATATTTAGATAATGATGTTTCTTTTTGGGGAGGGTATCCTCCGACTTTAGGATGGAGATTTAATTTGAACCATCATTTTTTGTCGCGGAATGTTATGGAATGTTGGGATATAATCGGATACAACCAACCCTCAGGTATCCAAAGATGGATAGGATGTGGAGATACCAACAGCGAATGATGAGATAATTGGCAGGTAACTGAATACCACCCAGAAATCACTGGTTTAGTTTGGATCTATATATTCCTTTTGCCGGGCCAAAAAAAACGGGGTATTCAATATTATTTGGATAGGATATTTGGTGTGTATATTCTTGTCTCAATATGGGGATACTATATGGAATGGGGTCTTAACACAAAGTGGGGGCTTAAATCCACAAAACTATGAACGTTTCATGGGATATATGGGTTTGTCTCAAAATCAGGGGTACCCCACTTCATGGCCGTCGAATATGGAGAACATGAATGAAAATGATGCTAAACCATGAAATGGAGTGGGCTTTCGAATATTGAGTCAAGTCCAAATGTATTGCCTGTTTCAAGTATACTTGGGATGATGCTCCACAGTGGACTCGTACTTCTCTAGCCAGTGTAGCTATTACTTATGCGATGCTGCTGTGGGACAGATCAAATGCTAAGACCCAGGAAACCAAGAATTTGGTCATGGCCGTGTATAGCATCACCCAAGTTCCAATTTCAAGCCACAATCAAACGAGAGGAAGGTTGACACCTAAACTGTCTTAACCTTTGCATAATGTGTTGTTGATTCAAACCACTACTTCTGCTAGATCCCCTCCCATGCAGGATCCTGCATATTGAGACAAACCTTTACAGATCAAAATTATGAATTTTCATTGTCACAGCCGCATACTGCCTGGTAGTGATCCGTAGATGGTATATGGTTGTCTGTACGCGTGGCAAGATCAGCACTCATTGTATGGTAGTAGCTTAGTGTCCATTTTCGCATCATTATTTGAGACTATTTAAGAACTACAAGTGATGAAACAATAGAAGATCGGGATGAAGGGTATTGGGTACTGCTCAAGATGATGGTAGAAAACTGGCTTGGACAGAGTGTTCTAATTCCAATTCACCAGATTTTACTTGACTACGTTTTTTTTTGAGTTGTCTTTCAGTTTTCGAGGCTCAGAAACACACAATTGCACCACATGGGCTTTGCGGTCCGCCCTGGATGATGGTTTTTGTCCCACGGTTTCTGGTGGCTTTATGGTGGCCTTGTGGTGTTTTCCGGTGATTTCCAGCATTAATTGGTGTTGCAAAGCTGAATCTATGGAAAGTGGGCGTGATCTCTTCAAGTCTATGTTTCCAGACTGGAGTTTGCGAACGACATGAGATTGATCCATTTGACCACATTGCTTGTGTTTCCTTCGAACAAGTGCAGCAGGGCTGTCTCCTGGAGTGGTGCATGACTTGTCAGTTCTTCATCGAGAATGTTTTTTGACGTTTGACGTGGTACAAAATCAGTTATCGAGTCACCTCTGGATTGTCGACGTTAGCTTGGTATAGTTTCATTGTGCAGGTCCAATGGGGTCGCTTTGCGATAAGGCTTCCCACTTGGTATTGCTTGGCTTGTCATTTTTACATTGTTCATATGACTTGACCCATGCCCAAGTCATGCATTTCCCATTGTATTCCCCAGGCATTTCAAACATCTCATATCCGTGGCCAAGCTGAACATAGTGTACCCCTTTCAAGCCAGCGTTCAATCCATAAAGAGAAAAAAGATCATCTGGTCTGAAACCTCATTTTCCCGTTTATTCGGTGGTCATATATGGGTGTGTCTGAAAATAGTGTACCCCTAAATTTTAGGTGGCTTGCGCCAAGTGTGCGCCAACACAGGTTGTTTTTTCAAATGAGTCAAAGGCTGGTACTTCTGTAATTCTTTAATAGATTTTTCACTGCCTGCCGTGCCCTAAGCTTAAAAATACACTGAGCCCCCTCTTTAAATTTACGTTACGGTTTTTTTCACGCTGACCCACCACCGGGCCCCCTTTTTTAGTCTACGTTGGTGGGGCCCGAACCCAAAATCCGAAAATAAGGGGCCCCAAAAAAAAGGCCAAAAAACGGCCAAAATTGCTTATAAATCGGGGGGCCCCATACTTAAATGATTAGGGCGCACACGCCCTATAGAGAGAAACAGTCTTCAAGTTCTGTCATTCGTAAAGTTTGACCAGGACGACAACCTGTGTTGTCGAACTCCACTACACTCCACTACACTCCACTACACTACAACTACAACTACACAACTACACTCCACTACACTACATTACACTCCACTACAGTACATTACACTACACTACCTTCCACTACACTTCACTACATTACATCACACGACACTATGTACACAACATTACACTAGACTCCACTACACCACACTACATTACACTACACTACACTACTTTCCACTACACTTCACTACATTACTCTACACTACACTTCACCACACTACAACTACAACTACAACTACACTCCACTACACTCCACTACACTCTACTACACTACATTACACTACACTACACTCCACTACAGCACATTACACTACACTACACTACCTTCCACTACACTTCACTGAACTACACTCCACTACACTGCAACTACACCTACGACTTCACAACTACACCCCACTACGTTCCACTACATTAGATTACACAACATTACACTACACTACACTACATTCCACTACACCCCGCTACACTTCACTACATTACACTACATTACACTGAATGACACTGCACCACAGATAGACATGTAGACAGATAGACAGATAGACATAGATAGATAGACAGGTAGACAAGGGTGAGAGAGATCAATCGCCTTTCAGTCCAGCAGTGGCTTCGCTCTGCCATCTCTGACTCACAACAACCAATCTCTCCTATAGGTTTCCTATTTTTGAAACTTCCGCCACCGCCTTGTGCGGTACTACTGGTATCATGTTTCGTTGACGGGACCCACCTGTTGCCCCACCAAAGGAGCTGATCGAACGCTTGCGGATCTTGGAAGATTCAGAGACAGCGAGCCATAGGAGGCCGAGCAATTAGACAGCAGACTCAGGAGCTAATTGCCATAATCCGGTATAGTTTGATTTGGTGCGCAAGCACTATATATTTTGTGTTAAGTTTAAATAGGATATTTCCGGATGGTTTTTAACATTTGCTTCCTTGGTACATCTCCCGGCCGTCTGCTGATGTTGATTTGGCAGGGATGCAGCTTGCTTCATGGATGCTACGACGCTGCTAAAAAGTTGCAAAGTCCGAATTTCTTGGCTGTTTTCCATCAGAAGAAGACAATCTGTTTGATGTTTTTTTCGGATCAGAAAGATGCCGGGATGTCAGTTGATGTGCATTACTTGGCAGCCCTTGCTACACGCTTTCATTGGCGCTGTTTTCTGCATTAACACTGCGTTGTTGTGTTCGCGTAGGTAGCGGGTTCGTACCACTTGACGTCTGCTTCGCTCCTCACGTTTCTGTCTGGATCTTGTATTTCCTTCGCAGTGGTACCAAAGTCTGGCATGACCTAGTGCGGCACTTGTTTCCGAACAGACAATGAAGGGCATGGGGACTGACGATAATAATCGAACAGATCTCAGAAGAGGAAGAGGCGTCAGATGAATAAGGCGTCGAACAGTTGTGTTTTTCCATTCGTGCCGGGTTGCGTGGCATCCTTTCGGTAGATTCTGTCTCAAACATAGAGGTTGAAACACATCGGACACTTCTGCCCCAGGCTTGCGCCCTGGCGTCCCTCTGGCGTCCCTCTGGTGTCGCTTGGTCTCCGCCGCTTTTGCGTGGCAGGCGTGGGGCAATGTCCATTGCCAAGGGGTCGGATGTACGCCCTGGCGTCCCTCTGGCGTCCCTCTGGTGTCCCTTGGTCTCCGCCGCTTTTGCGTGGCAGGCGTGGGGCAATGTCCATTGCCAAGGGGTCGGATGTACGCCCTGGCGTCCCTCTGGCGTCCCTCTGGTGTCCCTTGGTCTCCGCCGCTTTTGCGTGGCAGGCGTGGGGCAATGTCCATTGCCAAGGGGTCGGATGTACGCCCTGGCGTCCCTCTGGCGTCCCTCTGGTGTCCCACTGGTGTCCCTTGGTCTCTGCCGCTTTTGCGTGGCAGGCGTGGGACAATGTCCATTGCTAAGGGGTCGGATGTACGCCCTGGCGTCCCTCTGGCGTCCCTCTGGTGTCCCTTGGTCTCCGCCGCTTTTGCGTGGCAGGCGGCCCGTTGCAATTGAAACAAGGAATCCACTGAAGTGACCTGGTGCAAGACTTGGTGGAGGGATAGCCGTGCGGGTAGCAGAGTAGGAGAAGGGATGGCGCGAGCCGGTAACAGAGCAGGCAAGACGCAGGTGCACACAGATGGAAAAAGATTGTGTCGGCAATGTAGATGGTGCAGGTGAGATTGATGATGATGATGATGATGATGATGATGATGATGACGACCGTGGTGGCGATGATGATGATAATGATGATGTAGTGAAGATGGTGCAGAATATGTAGGTGATGTGGGTGATGTAGAGGATGTAGTGATGTTGATGATGATGATGATGATGTTGATGATGTAGGTAATGTATGTGCTGTAGTCGACAGAAGTTTTGAAGTCAAACTTCCGACAATATGGACAGAT